ACTAAAACCACTAATTCTGTTTTGTGATTGGCGCGGTTTAATCAAAGAATCGCCCCGTTGAACCAGAGCCTTCGCGACATTTCAATTTATTATTTACTTCGAAGGCTCTGGAATCCAGGGTATGTTGAGCATGGCTCGAAAAGATTTAGCTAATCGTTTTATATTGTCCTCATGTTCTATCCTTTCAACGCCATTCACCGACTTGTAGAGTCTACTAAACCTTGTGAAATGAGCAGGTCACAACAATGTACTTTTGTTTTTAATTTTTGAAGAATTTTAGGTCGTCCACTGATGGCTTAGTGGTAGGTCGTTTGGCCTGCCTCGATAAACATTTGAGTTCAAATCCAGTTGAACTCGTGTTTTGTAGCGGACTCACAATATATTTTTCCTTTATTTATTCTGGCTATTTTTTATTCTTTTCATACCTCTATGTGCAAAATCCGTCTACAAGTATAAGGAAATATTGCCATGTTGAACCTAACCCGAAGAGATTGTTAAGCTAATCATTCTATATTGTTTAAATTCACAAGAATTTAGTTTATAGTTGATTTGATCATGAAGCTGGCGAGCGGCTAACTGTAGTAGAAAGTATATATAAACACGGCTAAGAATTTCCTTTCAAAATACGCATTAAAATTCCCCTGTGCCAAAACTTTCTCGATCAGTATGCGTTTTGAACGTTTCTCAGTCGATCTAGATCGAAATTTTTTTTTTGATTTGCACGAAATTTTCTAAGTTAATCTTTGGTTTATAACTGCAGCACTTGCCTTGCGATAGTAACTTCTAGTTTTTAGTTGATTCGATGAAGAATTCGGGTAGCGGGTTAGCGTAGTACAAAGTATAATGATGGACGGGTTAGCATTTCTTATCTCAAAATGCGCTTTGAAATTCCCCTGTGCCAAATCTTTCCGCGCAAACAGGCAGCTCTGAACCATCCTAAGTCGATATATATCTAAATAGTTTTTGAAGTCTATCTTTGGACGAAATTTTTCAAGAGAAACTCAGCTTAGTTGACTCAAGAATCCGGATGGCGGGTTAGCGTAGTACAAAGTATAATAAAGGACGGGTTAGCATTTTTTATGTCAAAATGCGCTTTAAAATTCCCCTATACCAAAACTTTCTGCATCAACATGCGTTTTAAACCTTTCTGAGTCGATCTAGATCGAAAATTTTTTTTGATTTGCCCAAAATTTTCTAAGTTAATCTTTGGTTTATAAATGCAGCACATATAGAACAAAGTATAATGAAAGACGGGTTAGCATTTCTTATCTCAAAATGCGCTTTGAAATTCCACTGTGCCAAAACTTTCTGCACCAATAGGCAGCTCTGAACCATCCTAAGTCGATATATATCTAAATATTTTTTGAAGTCTATCTTTGGACGAAATTTTTCAAGAGAAACTCAGCTTAGTTGACTCAAGAATCCGGATGGCGGGTTAGCGTATAGTACAAAGTATAATAAAGGACGGGTTAGCATTTTTTATGTCAATATGCGCTTTAAAATTCCCGTATAGCGAAACTTTCTGCATCACTATCCGTTTTGAACCTTTCTGAGTCGATCTAGATCAAAAATGTTTTTTCGATTTACCCGAAATTTTTTAAGTCTGACTTTGGTTTATGAGCAGGTCACAACAATGTACTTTTGTTTTTAATTTTTCAAGAAAGTCACGTCGTTCACTGATGGCTTAGTGGTACGTTGGTTGGGATGTCTCGATAAACATTTGAATTCAAATCCAGTTGCACTCATGTTTTGTAGTGGACTCACAATATTGTTTTTTCCTTTAATGGAAACATTTTTTTGTTATAGATCGACTGAGAAAGGTTGAAAACGCATACTGATGCAGAATGTTTTGGCACAGGAGAATTTTAAAGCGTATTTTGAGATGATTTTCCGAGTACACGGCTTAGCATTCATTTGCATACGCCTTGTCCTCAGAAAATCATCTTAAAATACGCTTTAAAATTCTCCGGCGCGAAAACTTTCTGCGTCAATATGCGTTTTGAACCTTTCTCTGGCGATCTATAACAAATTTTTTTTTTCATTTTTCCCGAAATGAAAGACGGCTTAGCGCGGCTTAGCATGGCTTAGCACGGCTTAGCATTTCTCATTTGCATACGTCTTGTACTCAGAAAATCATCTTAAAATACGCTTTAAACTTCTCCTGTGCCAAACGTTTCTGCGTCAATATGCGTTTTGAACCTTTCTCTGCATGTCAATCTATAACAACATTTTTTTTTTCATTTTTCCCGAAATGAAAGACGGCTTAGCGCGGCTTAGCATGGCTTAGCGCGGCTTAGCATGGCTTAGCACGGCTTAGCATTTCTCATTTGCATACGCCTTGTCCTCAGAAAATCATCTTAAAATACGCTTTAAAATTGTCCTGTGCCAAACGTTTCTGCGTCAATATGCTTTTTGAACCTTTCTCTGTCGATCTATAACAACATTTTTTTTTTCATTTTTCCCGAAATGAAAGACGGCTTAGCGCGGCTTAGCGCGGCTTAGCACGGCTTAGCTTTTCTCATTTGCATACGCCTTGTACTCAGAAAATCATCTCAAAATGCGCTTTAAAATTCCCCTGTGCCAAAACGTTCGGCATCAATATGCGTTTTGAACCTTTCTAAGTCGATCTGTAACGAAATTTTTTTTTCGATTTGCCAGAAATTTTCTAAGTCAAACTTGGTCGAAATTTTCCGATAAAAGGCATTTCTGATGAGTACCAATAAGTAACCCGCCGCCCGGATTCTGCCTGCGCACCCTTTATTTGGGAGACCAGTGAGCAACCCGCGATTGTATTTCTGCCTGCACACCCTTTAATTGGGTGGCCTGACACGGTGGCATATTTATTTACAGGTCGATTTTCAGAACGTGGCATTTAAACTTTTGCAAGGAAATAGGTGGACGAAATTGTTTGAAACAACATTGACGCTATTGTAAAAAGCTTCAAAAATGTGTGGTAAGTTATCTTAAGCAATGATTTGATGTTTAACTGCTTTATAAGTTGGATAGTTGTGCAACTTTTTGTCAAAATATGCACTACATACTGCATATTTTCATATGACATATCACTGTCAGATACTTTTACTGTAACTATCAGCGATATTTCCTATTCCGGTTTTACTTTAACGAATGCATTGCCGAACAATTTAGACTGGTTTACTCGTCATTGTAACTTGTTCAAGGATTGCAATATATTTGCTAAAACCAGACTAGCTAATCTTGGTAGTTTGGTTCTTGGCAGGACATTTAATATCACTGAGCTTTTTTCCAAATATTTTGTAGGGATTTTTGCCTATCTAAATTACTTGGTACCCAGAGATAGAAAATTTATCATCGATACACTAATAAAAGGCCTACAGCGTTTGGAATACAGAGGTTATGACTCAACTGGTATGTTTTAATACATTTTCAATTTGTTACAAAATTTTGTGTATATTTTGAGAACTTCCTATACTGGAATTTTGCTTTCCAGGAATTGGTATTGATGGTGATGTTCAATTGCATGGCTCAGATTTGAGGCAAATAAAGTGAGTTTAGCTTTTGAAATATATTTTGTAGATATTCTTACTATGCTGGTTTAATTGAAGTAAATTCATATAATCCAGTCTTACTACAGGACAAAAAGTACTTCCTGATGGTTCTATAAGTTCTAAAATGTTCTTCCTCGAGGTCCAATAAAAGTCATCTTTTTGCAAAAGCGAGTGTAATTTATTTTGGAAGTACAGTACATTTTCTTAAGAAATCTGATTTAAACCTGAACGCTGTGAACATAAAATTTTCATATGTACATGCATGTCATCTTTTTGCTGTGAATTAATGTATTAGAAATGATGTAATTATTTAATTTTATTGCTACTAGGAAACAACATTTCATAGTCAAATATTCTAATTGAATAGAAATTTGTTCAAGGTTTTAATGTCAATTCAAATCTCATTAGCAATTCAGATTGCATCATTTTCTTGGGCGATTACTGGGAATGTTTTCTTTAAATGATCATGTGAAAATCATATGTCTGCAAATATGAGTATTGTATTACATATTTATATTTTAAAGTAAAAGTACAAGAACACTTCTGCTTCTGCCTGGTGTAATTTTTTGTAAATTATTCTCATTGAGCAAAAATGTCAACAAAATTTAATTTTCTTTGTTTTATATGATAATTTGTAGCGAAGGCTATATTTTTCGTTAGATTCACTGCATTCATAAACAATAGAACTCTGAAATTCCTTAGGTGTTAATACTTTTGTTTGTGGAAACATCACGAAAGCTTTGCAGTAATAAATTTACATGGTGTTTCCACAACAGGCCTCGAATTTCCCTGAAATCAATCGACGGCAATGGCGTTAAAAATTGCCGTAGAACGTAGCAGCTGTCTACGGCAATTTTGGTAGTTTCCACGGCATTTTTCAAATTACTGTCATAAAACTTTAATTTTATTGTTACTTTGGATTTTTGACAAGCTAGAAACATGTCAACGTATTTCTTTAATAGTGTTTTTTTTTCGAAGAAAACTGAGACTAAAATAGTGATTTACGCATGATTTGATCAACATCTGAATTCAAGTATCAATTGAAAATAGTAATGCACAGTGAATAGTATAAAAATTACATTATACGGCAAAAAATTGCTGTCGTTGCCGCAATGATCCATGGCATTTTGTTCTCCCTCTACGGCAATTGCTGTGATAAAATTCGAGCCCTGTTCCACAAACAAAAGTATTACAAAGCTCAGCTTGTTGTCATTGTGTCCCAGTCAGGGGTGGAAAAAATAGACGAGCACGCGAGCACTGCTCGCAGGAAATGTTAAACAGCTGCAGGAAATTTGTTTGAATGAAGATTTGCTATTGAAAATTTGAAGGAAACCTTAACACCCATGTCCCACTATGGGCACAACAACATATGGTTGACAGACATTATTCCTTGAATTTAAAACCATGGTCAGTTAGAACACTATATGTTTATGCACATGCAGATTTATCACAAAAATACTCTGTTGGTCTGCAGGAAATTGTTGTCGCCAGGTGTGCTCCCAGGAAGAAAATTATTTTTCCTGCCTTGGAAATTAGGATTGAAGACAGGTCATCATCTAATCACAATAATGAATTTCAGAACGCGTACTTCGCCGTACTGTTGCTCTGGTTCAATCTGGTTTATTTCTTCACAAAAATTGGCGGGAAACCACGCTCCTTTGTAATCCCCAAAGTCACCTCGCCACCTTAACATAAAAGCAAAAGCAATGCGTTATTGTATATTTATATACCCAGACAGTATAAATTATCATCTTAGTAGCAGTTTTAATTACTGTTTTAACCTTTCCGCTTGACGAGTAAAAGGTATATATCAACTCTCATTAACTTTGAGCTGGCTCAAATTTTAATGAAAGTTGACGACAGCTTTGCTAAGGATAAAACTAGGATACGGACGGCCGATCAGGGGCGTGGCGACTGGGGGGTCTTGGGGGGAGGGGGGAGTGCGACGCCCCCTATTCTACAGGCTTTGAAAAGTTGGTCAAAATTCTTGAAAAGTTGGTCAAAATTCTTGAAAAGTTGGTCAAAGGAATTATTTTAATATTAAACGAAATCTTATATTATTTACAAAAATTTTAGAAAATCCAAAAAATGTTCAGAATTTTAGAAAAAGTTCTTTAATTAAACACGAAAACGTTGGTCATTTTCATTGAAAAAGTTGGTCATTATGGTATGACGACCCCCCAATCTGGAATCGTTCGCCACGCCCCTGCGGCCGATGATCTAAAAGGATAATATTGACGTAAAAATTAATTGACGTTTAACGAGAACAAAAGTCATCCGTCCGTCCGTTGCTATCCGTCTGTCCGTATCCGCGTTTTATCCTAACCTCCAGTCAACGACTCTCATCAATTCTCACGCAACTCTTGTTCCCATTTGACGCGAGTTAAGAAAACTCTCATGCAAACTCTCGCTTCTCGCCTCTCATCCTAGTTTGACAAAGCGCTTAAAACAAATTGAACTTACCACCCGCCATCCTCTTTAATAACATTGGTTATAAACGCTCCTTTACAAAACGTCATTTCGTCCGTACTCTGTGCTTGGTAGTCCCACAAGGCACGACATACTGGCTATATAAACACAAACGATGAGGACAACATGCACTTATGAGAAATTGACCAAACATGATGCTCTATTTTGGTCAAATGATGTCACGGATAAAGTGTCCATTAATAGATGATTCTAGCTATACTATAGACTAAAGGAAGAAAAGTAAAGCAAAAATCATGTACAAATTATTGAATAAAATGGGACCCAAATCACTCAGTAATCTCTTCACATATAAGGGTGAGGTGACAAACTACAAACTTCGGAATATTTCAAGCAGTCTTTGTTTACCACAACCACGTACTAATAATATGAAAAAAAGTTTCGTGTATGACGGAGCACACCTTTGGAATTCTATTCCTAAAGAAATAAGAGAGAGCAAATCCTTTTCTTCCTTTCGAAAGAAAATCACTACTCACATTGATTGATAGCTAATTAACATAGATGTTAATATTACCTGTATATAGATTACTACCTTAGTTTGTTAGTTCATATAATACTATATATAATTTTGTAAATAGTTTTAAAATTCTTTTCTGTATACTTTTCGCACGCCCCTCGTGGAAATCAGCTTCGGTTGACGGGGTCAGCGTGTTTAAATAAAGTCTATCTATCTATCTATCTATCTAAATTATGATCTAGGCAAGAAGAACAAAATCCATCACCACAGCTAGAACGAGCATGTTGAAATTAGTAAAATTGTAAAGTTTGGCCGCGAAATGTTGTAAAATAAGGAAAATATAGCCCTACGAAATTTGCAAATTTTGTATTAATTTGTATTACGCGCGGGAAAATGCACCACTTTCGACCCAAATGTTCTTGCCTGGATCAAAACTTAGTCTATAGCTGGAAACATCCATTCTTATAACGGGAATGGGAATGAGATGTGAACATTTCACTTCAGGTCTTCAAATTCAGAATTTATCTGATTTCTAGTTAATATTAATAACTGAATATCCACGAGACAACTTTTTCTGCAACTTACCACGCAATTTCAGGCATTGAGCCATGTTATCTAAAAAGTAGTTACAGGGATATTCTGCGTGGCTCACGTTTTACTGTACCGACATTTTTCATACCATTTCTTTCATTTTTCATTTCTAAACAGTATGTTATGCAAGAAACCCGTCGGCAGAGTGGAAAGTTGGCCATGCTTACAGTTGTCTTTGACTGCTTTTTAGATAACCCAGTCCTCGCAGAAAGTTTTCGAGTCTTGCGATGAGTGGAAAAGAGGCTTAAGAGGTACGGGTGGTGAAGCTTACCTTTGTATTAAATCGTGGATCGAGATACAATTCTGAGTTCATATCTACGGAATCATGATCTGGCATCTATAGTAAGAACGCGCATCATTTTATTAAGTACACGGAACAGAAAGCATGTCTATCTTATTTGTATAGGAAATAGTATGGTTCTGAATACAATTTGGAAAAAAAAACACCAGCAAGTTTTTCAAAATTGTATGATACTTACTATTCCAATCCGCCGTAATATCTAGAAATAGAGAAAAGATTTTTAAAATACTGCGAAATATTCTTCTAACACAATACACATTATCACAATGGAATAATTCGCTTGGGTGCATGCAAAACAATTATAGCTTGAAATCGAGGAGGACAATGTAATCCATTGTAAATAAGTCGCTTTCATTGTCAGCCAGAAAATTCGGGAAGTGTACATAATTATTATTACGGACTCATTTATTTTCAAAAATAAATTGGGATTAATAGGTCGCAACATCCCTAACTAATGGGGGAAAACCCCAAAGGGATCAGATAAGCAAGGAAAACAGATATCCGGCCAAACTTGTCAAATAGATCTTCTGCCAATAAGTTCTGCCAACTTTTAACGACACTAATGGCATTTTTTCTGCCAAGGCGGCATTCCTTAGCTATCAGCAAAAGGCTGCGAAACATCTCAGTTCAACTGCCTTTGAGTGGAGGCCCTTACTCTCACCCTGATGTTGTTTCTCCAGTTTTTCTGGGGGCCCTTACCTCCAGAAACAGCATTTTCTGTCACCCAATTTAGCCACAAAGGATTTGCGAGATTTATTATTAAAACATAATTACCTCTTCATTGATTGGATGTTTTAATTTCATTTTCCTGTATAATGGGTGTTTTTCGTAGAATTCCACCAGTTCTACTAAACTTTCAAACTGAGCTGTACCAATAGTGTACAGCCTTCCTTCGCGGAATATCTTACAATGTTTAATTTTACCCTCGGCTCTGAAAGATAAAATTTAAAAAATCATAAACATACGAATGGGCCCTTGGCATAATGTCATAATCTAGTCAGGGTGTTAGTTACAGTGAAATATTCGGCAATTTTCACAATTACGTTTAGCCAGCAATTTCACAATTTAGATCAGCCAAAAACGTAACTATTATATTATATAAAAGATTGTTCAACTTCACAACTTTGCTCAAAAAAAATTGGGTACCAGAGAAGTGTTGCGAGGATG